AATCACTGGATATGGCATAACATATTGTTCACACATCTTTAAAGGCCAGAATCAGTCACTGAGACAAGCAAGCAGCAGCCTAATAAAAGACATTTTACCTCATTTATTCTTTCCCCAGTTATTTTATCAAATAGGAAGATCTTCTGCCTACTACATTTTCGGCAACCTTAATGATCAAAAGACAAGGAAAGTTTATTAAGCAATGAGTGGCATGCTTTGTAGTTGAATCTCAAGTTGATAGTTATCATTTCAGTTGTGAGGTGATCTGTGGTCCTGTCCACTTGTGTCCAAGTGACTTTGTCCCTGCTTTTTGTCGTTCAAGCAAAATGTATTGGGCTGGGTTTCCCAAAGTCAGTGATTGACATTAACCACAGCCCTTGGACACTGGCCACTTAAACACAGCTAAATAACTAAAGAACAAAATACTGTTTTTTGGCTACCAATGACCTGATGAGCTGAATAAATCTAATTTGCCTGAAGTCAACTTTGTCTGAGAGCAAATGTATTAATAGTGTGGATAAAGGTACCCTTACCCTTTCTTCTCTTCTTCACATATGGCCCCTCCTGCCTCACGGACTGGGAGATGGAAGAGGCAGCAGGTGGAGGACAAGACTGTGGAAGGGAGAGATCTGTGGTGATAAGAGATGGAGGAGAGACAGAGGTGGCAAAAGGTGCTGGTGAACAGATTGAGGTTTTTGTCCTTTTCTTCCTCTGTCGCAAAGACTTGGAGCATGGCAGTGGAGGTGGAGGAGGAGAAGAGTGTGGAGGAAAAACAGCTGTAAAAGTAGTAGAGGAGGGAGGAGAGAGAGAAGTTGGAGAGTGTGGGGAAGACTGAGGAACAAGGTTGAGTATAAATACAGTCTCGGGATCTTTTGTGAGGCTCTCTGGCTGCTCCACGGTGAGGCTCTCCGGCTGCTCCACGGTGAGGCTCTCCTGTTTCACGGTGTGGCTCTCTAGCAGCGCCACGGTGAGGCTCTCCGACTGCTCCACGGTGAGACTCTCCAGCAGCTCCACAGTGAGGCTCTCCTGTTTCACGGTGTGGCTCTCTAGCAGCTCCACGGTGAGACTCTCCTGTTTCATGGTGAGGCTCTCCGACTGCTTCACGGTGAGACTCTCCAGCAGCTCCACGGTGAGGCTCTCTGGCTCCAAAATGGAACTGTTGCACTGCTCCTGACTGGCGCTGTTGTGCTGCTCTGCTATGGGGATGTCATTGTCCAGCTGCTGTGATGTGGAGGTTGCTTTAATACAAGTTTACATTCATTTCAAATCTGTACAGATTAACAAAGAAAAATACATGCATTTTAAATAATAATTATTTCTGAACAAAAATCTTGCTCTTACCCTTACTCAAGATAAATTCATAAGCCCTTTGCATCTTCTCCAAAAAATTTCTTGTGACAGGAGTGGGGTGCAGATGGGTAATTATGTCTGCAACCCACTTATTTGAAGCCTTTTTATCTTGTTTGCCAATAAATAAAATGGGCTTGTAACCCACTGCCTCAAGTTTTCGCACCTGAAATGAACAAAATCAGTTGCTACACATTAGTTAAACCCACTGAATTATTAGATACATTAGTACTGTATAAAGCAATTTCATTTTAAGGTCATTTAATGGAGTGCAATGCAAGAACATTAGCCTTAATCTGTTTCATAAAGATTAATATTTGAGAAAAAACATTACCGCATCTTGTATTTTATACGATCAACGTTCAATTTCAGATAAGGCCAGAGATACTCTTTCAGTTTTTACTGTTGTCAACATGACTGACTCATTATTTGACACAACTTATTGTTTCTCTTTAGCACAATTTAAAGATAAAGAGTCTTCCTTGTATGAAATAAGACCAAGTTTATAAAGGCCACATCATACTGCTACTAGTCTATGATATTCACTACATGACAAACATGGGCTTTCAGTTACACTTCAAATAACACTTATGAAAAATTAGCATTTTTACTTACTGCAATACGAGCAGAATCAATTATACGCCCAGCATTTCTGCTGTTCACCACAGATTGCCCCCACTGGCTATCCAGTGACACCACTTTGTCTTTTATTTTTTGTTTAGTGGACAGACTTCCAAAGCAGACATAACAAGTTTTCCTGCTTGCCTGATTGGGAGTCTGGCAAGACGGGCAGGGCCTGAATTTGGGCTTTGTCATAACTTGACAAGAAATGTACACTAGAAATAGACACAAAAACAGACAGACAATGTGTTAAAATAAAGAGTTTTTGTAGGACCTATTGAGAGAAACATAAAGATGGACAGATACGACAGCTACAGATGTAAACAGAGAGAGAAAGAGTGAGCGAGCGAGCTACAGAGAGACAAGTACAGGTTAACAAAATGGACGTGACTCTTAAAAGTGCCTTGGAATGAGTGAGTGAGTGAGTGAGTGAGTGAGTGTGTGTGTGTGTGTGTGTGT